ATTAAAATGTTTAGTTTTCTTGTCGTGATTAGAATGTTATTTAAATGTTACAAAGATGTTCATCAAGTACAATTAACATCATAAGAACATTTTTAGAATATTGTTCCCAGAATGTTTTCTCTCAATGTCATGAGAATGTATATCAAATATGAATGAAGTTAGAACATTCCATATACATTACTTTAAGAACGTTGTGTCCTAACAGTTATATAACTTTTAAATAACGTTAATTAAAGTTATGAGAACCTTCCCTGTTAGCTCTGGATGCCGAATACAAAAATCTTCTGTTTTGTCAAAAGTCCTCTGTTTTGCATTTTCTTTACGTTGCTGTCTTGAGCTCTTTGCATGTCGTGTTGGTTATGTGGACGTTTACATGTGAACGCAGTACATATATCAGTTGGTGCATCTGGGTTTGCTCTCCTCGACGGTAGACGCCCACACACACACAAACACACACATCAGAGCGATGCTGACAGGCAGAGAGGAACGGCAGCTGTGTTTATCTTACTGAGGGTGCAGGGAAAGCCTGTCTGGTCTCGGCTGAATTTGTTAGTGTACTATCTTTTGATCCAGTCACTTTTTAACATCTTTCATGTTTGCGGACATACTGACATTTATTTTCAAGAAAAAATTGATATGCATATGCAGTTACGTTATGTTCTCTATATCAACCCCAAACATTGCAATACAATTCACATGATATTATTCATATCAATAATAAAAATAAAAAGATAAGAAAATAATATACACTTTAAAAAACTGCACTCTAAAAAATGCTGGGTTGTTTCAACCCAATGTTGGGTCAAATATGGACTAACCCAACTGTTGGGTTAAAAAGCTAATTTAAAAATGTAACCAAAATTTAATCCAACAGTTGGGTTAGTCCATATTTGACCCAACATTGGGTTGAAACAACCCAGCATTTTTTAGAGTGTGGCTTTGAAACTATTTTCATTTAGAAATGGCAAGTGAATTTAATAAATGATTAAATTGAACATTGAATGGAACATGAAATTTTGATGTAGAAAAACTGAAATAGTATTTTTTTTTTTAAATAATCTAAATATTCAGAGACCAGTTCGTAAGACGAAAGATGGAAATAAACATGCGTAAGTTCATAAGATGTAAAACATGTAAACGTGTGCATCAATGTGCTGTGCATTTGCTGTGTTGTTGATAAGTTGATTTTTTCCCCCTGTAAATCTGATTATTTCAGGTTTACACCACCCTTTTCAATCTGATCGACATTTGTTTCTGATGGTTGGTTGAGTTCAGAATGAATCATGAATAGGTCTGCTGTACTGATTGAAGGAAGTCCTTGTGTGGAATAAAACATGTCTAATCTATTATAAACTACTGTGCACTGAGCAGTGTGTATGAAATACATTAACATGACTGAGGGGAGATAGAGAGAGAAACTCATTGTGACCTTATAAGAAATGCATGTCATTTGAAGGCTGTGGCTCAGATAAAAGGGACAGGACAGCTAGAGCCAGCCAAGAACCTGCCGCACAAGGACTTCATCCAAGTTCAGAGAGCATGTGCATGAAAACAGAGCTCTGTGAGCTTCATTAACGGGATCCTTCACCAATGAATAAATGTCTGTCATCATCACATTTTAAAACCAACACAGAAGATTTATCATCCAAGTCCATGCAACTTGTGCTCTATAATTCAGGTCTGCTGAAGCCATTGTGTTGTGTGAGGAACAGACTGAGATTTAAAGTGTTAGTTCACCCAAAATCGAAAAGTCAAAAAACCTCACTAAAATAAAGAGTCTTAGCGATTAACACGAGCAGCTGCTGTACCGTAATAGTGTCTGAAACTCACCAGGGAGCTGCTTGTGTTATTCTGCCGTTCACCTCGAGTTTAAAGACTCAGTACTGACCGAAGTGGAGCAGAAATCACCTTGTGTTGAACAGATTTGTGCATTTGACCTCATAACCTCATAACTAAGGCGGTGCAGTGAGAGGTGTCTTCCCTTCAAACCGCAGCCCGTATCCTGTGAGAGCAACGACATAAACACAGCCTAGTGCTGAGGAACGTTACTTTTAAAAGCAATGCATTACAATATTGTTACTCCTTAAAAAGGTAACTAGTTATGTGCGAGTTGAATTTTGTTACTTTTGCGTGAAGCTGGGCTGGGCTGGGCTGGGCTTGATTGTTTGTTTTTAATGTAAAATGTTCTATTTCTGGCAAATGAAAAAACGCTTACAATGAAATGAATAAGCCTCAGTTGATAAATATCCAATATTAAAGGATACATTTTAAAAATCGACTGAATTAATATGGTACTGATTTATCGTGCACTCCTAAAAGATACATATTCATATTCCTGAGCTACTTTGTAATTTATAACTTTTATCATCATTTTGAAAAAATATTCATATTTCTGTTTACATTTGAGTTCCAATTTAATTTATCATTTTTTTATTGTAATTTTGACAAATATTCATAAATATTGATATTCCTGTTTATGTTATGAGTTCCAATGTTATTACTAAGTTTTACAATAATTTTGAAAACATATTCATACGTATTCTTATTTCTGTTTATATTACCTATGTATGAATATTTTTCAAAATTATGATATAAAATATAAATTCCATTAGAATTCACAATGTAAGCAGAAATATGAATATGTATGACTATTATAATAATTATGATGTAATTTATAATCGTTTTATCATAATAATTATAATATTCATATATATTCCTATTTCTGCCTACATTGGGAATTCTGATTTAATTTATATTTTATATCATAATTTTGAAAAATGTTTATACATATTCATATTTCTGTTATAAGGTAATTTAAAGGTTATTTATATATTTTTTCCCATTGTTGGGGAAAGTTACTTTTAAAAGTAATGTGTTACTCCCTAAAAAATACACTTCCTCGTCTCCATTATCAAGCCTTGCATTATTTTCTCTAGCTGTATTGAATGCTGTGCATTTGGTATCTCGCGCAATGGCTGCCGTTTGGATTTCACTGAGTTTAATCAGGTTTGGTTGTTTAAGTGATCAGGCTAAAGCCGGAACTCGGAGACTCTAGAGCATCATGGTGATTAGAAACGAGAGAAGGGAACACAAATGCACGTCTGAGCTCTCTTTCGCTGCTCTGTTTGTGCTTGATAAGAGAGTACGGCTCTCTGGAGATGTCATTTGCAGCTCTTTTATAGTGACGGTTGCCACACTGGAGTCTCTGTCGTGACTGAGGAATATTGGACGAATGTTGTTTGTCGAAGCCTTATCATGCAAGGTGTTATAAAATATTTTTTTATATAATGTTATAAAATATTTTTATTGTGGTGTATAATTGATTCTTGAGATCTGGGAAAAATTACTTAAAATGATAAGAAAGTCACTAGAGCTTGATATGAAGATGTGATTTGTTATTACCTGATTTTTCAATGTTTTCATAAATATCTGACATAAAATTAACCTGTTGCTTTATTTCAAGACACAGGAATATTTATTTTAAGTAACAATTAACAACAAAACATAACTAAATTGAATCTTCTTAAATACTAGTCAATTTAGACATCACAATTGCATTATAATTAGTGCCTGATTGATATATCGTTTTGCCGATTTTATCAGCTGATATGAGCTTGTCGCAGATATATCGGTATCGGTGAATATGCCGCCGATATGTCACCGATATAAAAAAATTTTTACAGAACATAAAACGCAGATAAAATGCTCCATTGTTTGCTACTGGCGACCTGGATGAAACGCTTTATAACTTAAAGGCACAATATGTCATTTTCGCCGCTAGAGGGCGCATATTCAAAATAAACAAAGAGACAAAGGCGTAGTTTGATGACGCTGTGACTGAGTGTGGAATCATGGGAGTTGTGGTCTTCATCCCCACAGCCGATGCAATCCAACGGGACTCGGGCAGAAATCATGTTCATGGATGAGCTAATGATTTATTAACGTAGTAGTATGAAGCAGGGTGAGGCTGAAAGCCGTCAAAGCGAAACGAGGTCGCTGAACGAGCACGACACATGGCAGCGGAGCTTTTATTATGCCACAGTCGACCGCTTCTGCTCCTTCCGGTCGTGCGTATGTGGGGTAAAGCAGCGCCGTTTTATCATACTAGATACGTTTGAAAGTTCTGTTATAATGCTACTCTGTGCGGTCGTCACCGGCCGATATATTGATATATCTTTTTTTACTCCCTAATATCGGTATCGGCCCCAAAAACCCATATCTGTCAGGCTCTAATTATAGTGTACATCATCAAAAATGGATACTTACTTTTAGATTTTTTGTGTTTTTAAAGATTAGCTTTAAGTGAGAATGGAGGATGGCAAAGGTAATCGAAATGTAAAAATAAGAGAAATGAGCATAAAATATTAAATATCCAACATCAGTTGATAATTGTCCGATATCAAATGATACATTTAAAAAATCTGTAATATCAGCTGAATTAATTATGGTACCGATTTATCATACACTCCTAAAGGATGCATATTCATATTCCTGAGCTACTCCTGTGTAATTTAGATTTTTTAAAAATATATATTCATGTTTCTGCTTATATTGTAAGTTCCAATGTAATTTTTTTTTTATTATAAATTTGAAAAATATTTATAAATATTGATATTTCTGCTTATATTGTGAGTTCTAATGGAATTTATATTTCATCATAAGTAAATATATGCATATTTATTCACTTCATATATTAACTTGAGCTCATAAAGAGACACCATGCTCTACAGGACAGCTCAAATATTATATATTAAATATAAAAATGTATAATAATCTTAATGTTGTTTGTGCATGTTGTGCCTTTTTACAAATTTAATTTTAAATTGTTGTGTGCGTTTTTTTGAGAGCATGATGCTCGCAAGATCATGGGTTTGATTCCCACCAAAATTCCCGTGCATGAACTGATTCAAATCAAATAGACTCCTGTTCTTTGTGCTACACATGATATCATGCAGTAGTTTGGGAACCGTGAATCTGAAATGATGTTGGTGTTCCCTCAGGACTCCAATCTCACGAAGCACACAAACCTGCCGGATCTCCCAGCATGCTTTCAGCTGTCTGTCCTGCCATGGACTCCCTGCATCTTCCTGTGGCTCGCGTCTCCTTTCTATATCCTCTACCTCAAGAGGAACAACAGAGGCTACATCATGATGTCTATATTGAACAGAATCAAAACGGTAGGAGATGTGAACGTCTCTGAGGTTTGCTGGAGTTCTCTGCTATCTCTTTGTAATAATTCATTGTATTTGTGTGTGCAGGTTCTCGGCTTGATATTGTGGATCGTATGCTGGACAGACCTGTTTTCTTCATTTCACGAGATGAGCCAGAATCAGTCTAAACCCCCAATATATTTCGTTACTCCTCTAATAGTTGGCATGACAATGGTAAGTGTGAACAGACGCTGAATATGTCGCTTGTGTGTCAGATCTCTAGTCCAAAAAAGCCTTTCATTCAACAATGGCTCGTTCTCATAACGTCCTCGCATGTCTAACAACAGATCAGCATGAACGTGGAGCACATGATTTGTTTTATGAATCTGTGCAATTCAGGCACTTTTGTTTACTTTCATATAGTGGAGTAGAGAGTGTGGACAATAGTCATGAAAAACTCAATTATAATCGACCCCACTGTTATTTGAGGATAGAGTATCTAGTTTCTTTCTGTTAATATTAATATACATATAAAAACTATAAATATTAATATAAAAAAGATGATAGTTTTAATTAATAATTTGAATTCATTCTTTTGATTTTGGTTACATTTTTAATAATTCTTTGTCTTTGGTAGGCTTTTGTTTTTGAAAAAAATCTATGTGATAAACGAGTCACAAGTGATCTAAAGTTAATCTAAAAGCAGTCCGATTACATTACCTAAAATGTGTAATGTAATGGATTACATTACTAAATACAAGTTTTATCATGTAATTTGGAACATATAAATAGTCTAATAAAATGTATGACACTGTATGTCTCCACTTATATTGTGTGCACTATCCAAAAGTCAGTATATGTGCTCAGAAGGAAGGTGTATCTCCATGTTTTGTCTTTTGTCTCTTCTAGCTGTTAGCCACGTTCCTGATCCAGTATGAGAGGCTGAAGGGAGTGCAGTCGTCCGGTGTGCTATTCATATTTTGGACGATCTCAGTGTTGTGTGCCATCGTGCCTTTCCGCTCCAAAATCGTGTATCAGGTCAGTATGTCCGTTTTAAGCAGATATTCCATTGTGGAGTATTTCATTTCAGTCTAACCATGGAAACTGCTCTGCCAGCAGTAATGTGCGACTCTCTCTCCTTCTGCACTTTTCCCTGCCGTTTTATTCCTCACATGCATCTTTTGACCTACATGTTCAGCTTTCTCTCGGCTCTGAAGGAGTTCAGTTAAGGCCATGACTGTTTTGAGAGAATAGGGCTGCTGTTCTTCCTAAGACCTGCTTCAAGACAGCTTATCTAACTCCCAGAGCAACAAACATATCTCAAGGCTGACGCTGTTTTCCAAGTCAAATAAGTCTGATTCTTGCTCCTGGTTATGACAAATGCCATCTGATTTAGAATTTTGAATAATAAATTATATGCACTTGACAGACGCTTTTATTCAAAGTATATTTATTCACTTCATGCATTCCCTGAGGGACTGAACCAATGAATTGAGATGCCATGCTCTGCAGGAACGCTCAAATATTGTAACTAAAAATATATAATGATATTAGTCATGTTTGTGCATGTTTTGTGCATGATGCATTTTTAAGATATATTAATTTAATAATATATTGTTTGTGCATGTTTTGCATTATGCATTTTCCAGACATATTAATTTAATAATATTAGTGCTGTCAAACGATTAATCGCATCCAAAATAAACGTTTTTGTTTACATAATATATGAGTGTGTGCTGTGTATATTTATTATGTATATATAAATACAAACACATGCATGTATATATTTAAGAAAAATATGTTATGTTTATATATTAAATATATTTATATATAATATAAATGTATATACATGTAAATATTTTCTAAATATATTCTGTATGCTTGTGTATTTATATATACATAATTAATGAACACAGTACACATACATACATATATTATGTAAACAAAACTTTTATTTTGGATGCGATTAATCGCGATTAATCGTTTGACAGCACTAAATAATATTAATATTTTTTGTGCATGTTTTGCATTTTGAGTTTTCAGATATATTTAATACTATTAATGTTGCTTGTGCATGTTGTGCATTAAACATTTTTCAGATATATTCATTGAATACTATTATTATTGTTTATGCATGTTTTCCATTATGTTTTTTTAGATATATTAATTTATTAATTTTAATATTGTTTGTGCGTTTACATTTTTCAGATATATTAATTGAATAATATTAACATGGTTCATGCATGTTTTGCATTCCAAATTTTCAGATAAATTCATTTAATAATATGAATAACGTTTGTGCATGTTGTGCATTTACAGTGTTTAGATATATTTATGAATATTAATATGTGCATTATACATTGTTTCAGATATTTTATCCAATGGTGTTTTGGTCATAAAGATTCATTAGTTAACGAATGTCATTTAAAAAAAAAAAACTTTCCTCTGTAAGCATAATGAGGATATACAGCTAAAAGTTAGCTCTTTGTAGGTCAATTTCCTCAAAACATTGTGACATTATTCAAAACGTCACTCATTGTTTGAGCGTCTCGACCATCCTGACAGACAGCGTGACTGATGGCGTGAGTGTGGGGTGAACAGGCTTGGTCTGACATTGTGAAATCAAATAAGAACTAAATATCATAAAGAGCAGGGTTGGGTGGAATAAGGACACGCTCGGGGCTGAGGGCGCCTGTGATGCGGCGTGTAGAGATGTTACGATTACTTGATAAAGCAGCGTTCTCTGTTTTCAGAATGGGGTCGAAGACAAGCTGAGGTTCACCATGTTCTACATTTACTTCGGCCTCACCCTGATTCAACTCATCCTATCATGCTTCAATGAAAAGCCTCCTCTCTTCTCCAGCGTGGTCACAGATCCTGTAAGTGTGTGTGTGTGTGTGTGTGTGTGTGATCTAGGGCCAGCGGTAACCGTCATGCTTTCAAAATACAAGATTGAATAAAAGAATGATTTAGTGCCACAAACTGTGGATTATGTGGATCTTTGAACATTAGAAAGGTCATGGAAAGGTCAGAACAGCAAACTAAAAAGTGCCTGTGGTGTTTTTATTGGATTTTCAGAATGCTTGTCCAGAAATTACTGCTGGTTTCCTCTCCAAAATGACCTTTTGGTGGTTTACTAGGTGAGTAATATGAAGTAAAATATAATATAATATAAAAGTAACACTAATGGTTTTTAAAAGTTATATAAATGATAGGACAAAACGTTCCTAAAGTAATGTTTATGGAACATTCTTATAGCTTCATTAATATTTGATATACATTCTCATAATGTTGAGAGAAAACATTCTTCGATCAACTCTATGAATCTATGAGTTCGTAGAATATTACAAATAAACATTCAAATACTGTTACATTTGGGGTGAAAATAAAGTTAGTTGAATGTTGTAAGAAACGTTTTTGTAACCTTTAAACGACGTTCTAATCAAGATGAATAAAACTGGATATTTATAACTTTTAAAAAACATTTCACAGCTATGTTTCCGCAACATTTTTATAACCTAAATTTGTTTGGTTTACATTGCTTTTGGGCCGTCAGAAACAAAGGTGTTTCCCCACATGTTTTAGCCCAATTGTACGATGTCTTATTAAATATTGGATTTTAAATGAATGCACGTATTTTCTCAAGCCAAGCCAACGTGTAAGATTTAAAGGGACAGTTAACCAAAAAATTGACATGGTCGCACATCTTTCCCAAACCTCTAGGACTTTCTTTCCTCTCTGAAACATAAAAGAAGACATTTTGAGAAATGTCTAGGTTCTTCAAAATATCTTCTTATTTGTGTTCTGTAGAGGATAGAAAACATGGGGGTGAGTAAATGATGACAGAATGGTGAACTGTCCCTTTAATTGGACATAAACAACAAAAATAAAAGCACTGAAAAATGACTGTCCGATGCCAGTAGAATTCTTAGAGTGATTTTTGTTTGTGTTTTACAGCATGGCGATCAAAGGCTATAAATCCCCACTGGAGAATAAAGATCTCTGGTCGCTGAACAAGCAAGACAGTTCAGAGCTGGTGGTTCCCAATCTGCTTAATGAATGGGAGGTGGAGAAATCCAAAGCACAGAGGTATAAATTCAAACAGAAAATTAAGATTTAAGTCAATTAAAAAGGTTGTGAATGCCATTTCTTGTTTACAGTAAGTAACACTAAGCTCCAAATTCTTTTTTTTCACCCCATGTTAATTTTTCAGTTTCAATTGTGCGATTAATGTGCCCATTTTTGGTGAGTGACCTCGTAAGCATGCTTTTAAACGAGCTAAAAAGTCTTAAATGACCGTAAAGGATATCTGTCAGATCCACGTTATGTGCATTGAGTTTTAAAGAGACAGCGCTGCTTTTAAAGTGAATCCTGCTGCAGTCTGTCATTGATGGAAATCAAAGAACAAAAGAAAATGTATCGTTTAAAAATATAATTTAAATATTTGAAATATCATTTAAATGTGTAGTTTATGGGAAGATTGTATTAAGTTCACTTAAATTAAAAGTTGTTATATTTTTCAAAGCCTATTGAATGTTAAAAATAATGGTCATCAGTTATACTGTAATGCTGAATTTCTATAATCAATGGCTAAAATTGAGGGGGAAATGCATTTAATAGAGACATCAGTAGCAGTATTGCTATTAATGATGCTTTAATTAATAATAGGCTACTTAGTAAAAAGATGCCATTAAACACATATTTATCATATACCTTCTTTGTTGTTCCTATATTAATTTGGAAATTCAATGTGAAGTGACAATATAACTATATTAATATGCAATTAATCGCGATTAATTACACAAAAATGTGTGATTCGTAAATTTTTTAATCGATTGACAGCACAGAATTCATCAAAACAACTTAATGTAATACTTAAAAAAAAAAAAATAGTGCCCTATTCGTTTTTTCTCTCTCTCAGAAATTCTGTGTTGTGTAATTTAATTTTTAAACGTTCACAGGGTCACGATGAGCTTCTGTTTTCATTATTGGTAGCTTGTGTAATATATTAATATAAGGGTAGGGTATTTTGCACAAGCGAACACAAGCAACGTTTTGAAACGGCGTGAAAAATAGTTATTTTTGGAGGTGTTTTTGGTGCCGCTAGAGCAGAATGACACGTGAGTCCAGGTTCAGCTTTGCTCTTGAGCACAGAAGTGTTTTGATTTCCCAAAACTAATGCACTTGCAGTACATTCATGCATATGACAGATGCTTCTATCTGAAGCTACCTACTCAGCTGTACATTTGTTCAAGTCATGCATTCACTGGGACTCGAACCCGTGACCTTGACGTGGCTGCTGAATGAGTCATTTCAGCTGATCAGCCGTTCTTGTTTTTCTGTGCAGTGAGCCGAGCGTGAAGGAGCAGGCCGCGTTTAGGAAGGCAGGCCCGGGCGCTGAACCCAACCATATGAGCGTCAATCCGGAGGAGGAAGAGGAGGAGGAGGAGGTCCTGCTGTCCAAGCGGAAGGAGGTGCGGCAGCCTTCGTTCCTGCGGGCCCTTCTCAGGGCCTTCGGGCCCTACTTCCTCATCGGCTCCGCTTTCAAACTGCTGCAGGATCTCATTACCTTCGTGAACCCTCAGCTGCTCAGGTGAAGCCACTGCGGCATCATTCCCAGCCAGAGAGGAACTATAGTCATAATTAGTTATGATTTTACGATAGGGAAGGTAGTGATATCGCACACATCACGATAAAGCTTCCAGTAAGTGACGTTTACTCGCTCTATTGCACTGGTTATTTACAGGAGATGTTCACAGGGTTGTGATGAGCTTCTGTTTTCATTCATGGTAGCTGCTGATGTTATGATTCATAATTAATATATTAAAGGGATTGATTTAGTCAGTCCGTATGAACAGCTGTAATTGTTTGTCTGATAATGAGCGACACAATAGCTGCTCTGTTCCTTTAACATTTACCTAGACCTGGGTTTTATTACACGCATGGATTTATTTTGTTTGCTTATAACAGGAAGAGCAAACACGAAGAATGCTGATTAGCTGGAAGGTGGTGTAAAAATGATCTTTTATATTGCTGTTTTCCATAGAAGCCTGCAGAATCGTTTGCATGTTGTTTTGCTTTCTTCACATATGCCTTTCACGCTCTCTGCCTGTGTTTTGCAATGCAAACAGAATGCAAATATGTTTCCTTTTTACTATTTTGAATCAGGCACTTCTAGTCAAAGGTTTGAAATAATTAAGCATTTATTGGATCAAAAATACAGTACAACACAGTGAAATATTGTTACAATTTAAAATAGCTGTTTTCTATGTGAACATCTGTTAAAATGTAATTTATTGCTATGATCAAATCTGAATTTTCAGCATCATTACTCCAGTCTTCAGTGTCACCAGTAAGATATAAAAAATTTTTTTTTCTGCATTAAACTGATTAAAAGTGACAGTAATGACATTTCTAATGTTACAAAAGATTTCTATTTCAAATAAATGCTATTTTGAACTTTCTGTTCATCTGTGAATCCTGAAAAATAAAATGTATCACAGTTTCCACAAAAAAAATGAAGCAGCACAACTGTTTTCAACATAGATAATAATCAGAAATGTTTCTTGAGCAGCAAATCAGAATATTAGAATGATTTCTGAAGATCATGTGACACTGAATACTGGAGTAATGATGCTGAAAATACAGCTTTGATCACAGGAATAAATTACAGTTTAACATATATTCACATAGAAAACAGTTATTTTCAATTGTAATAATATTTCACATTTTTGACTATATTTTCGGTCAAATAAATGCAGACTTGGTGAACAGACGAGACTTCTTTCAAAAAACCTTCCAATCCCAAACTTTGGCCTGCTAGTGTCTACAGTTGATAATACATGGAAACCACGATGCAGAGAGGTGTGTTTTTAACGTGATTCTCCTTTCATTGTCAGGTTGTTGATCGACTTCACCAAACAGACCAATGCCCCGCTGTGGTGGGGTTACTCGCTGGCGTTCCTGATGTTCGGCACTTCCCTCTTACAGACCCTCATCTTACATCAGCACTTTCAGTACTGCTTTGTCACAGGCATGAGGCTGCGCTCGGGAATCATCGGAGCCATTTACAGGAAGGTACACACTAGAAAGAATAAAGACTCACTCAGACCAGCACAAATCTATGTTCTGACAGGACCGGTTCATGCTGGTTAGTCTTTCCAGTGAGGCGACTGACCAAAAGTGGTGTGGGTTCAAGGGATTGTTGACTCAAAAATTTAAATTCTGCTGTCATTTACTCTCTCTTTCGTGGACCATTAAAGAAGATAATTGAATATTTTATATTAAATATAGATATCTTATATATAGATATATATTTTTTTGGATGTCAATGGACTCCTCATTCTTCAAAACACCTTCTTTTGTGTTACACAGAAGAAATAAATGCATAATACATACAAGTAATGCAATATTTAATGAGTAAATGATAACAACATTTTTGGCGAACCATATATTTTTAAGCACTTTATAGGAGTAAATAATTAGAACTATATAATTATTCAAAATGTTATAGTACATACAAATATTTCATACAGGGCTGGAACCTGTGGACATTTTTTTTCTGCCATGGGATAAAAGATCTCACAATTCAGATCTTGCAATTCAGAGATATTTATAAACACAGGATTGCATGACAAAAAGTCAGAATTTTGAGATAAAAAATTGCAGTTACTAGTTTTATTTTTAATTCTGAAACGAAAAAAATGGCCAGATACAAACTTGGAATTGCAAGAAAGAAAGTCAGAATCCTAAGATTAAAAAGTCGCAGTTAGCCTTTTTTATTGTTTATTCATTGGCGGAAATTATCTTCCAGATAGGAACCACATGAGTAAATGATGACAAAATGCAGGTTATACAGTAGGGTTTTAACAGTTCATTGATTATACTATAAACTGTACCTTTCCAAACTCAAATGAACTTTCCATGCTCTAGTATTACAGGTTTGACCATTTATTATTATAAATGTAGTTGGGTTCATACGGTCGAGAGAGAGCGTTGAGCCTCCAGGAGAACTCTAAACACTGATACTTGAGCTTATATCAACAGATACTTGCACTTGAATGTGTTATTTTTGTTATGACTATATTGCTGTGACTGTCAGAGTTACATTTACAATATAAGCATTAAACCTTCTGGCGCATGTTGTGAGATGAAGGCTGAATTACTTCACATTAAATACACATAACGCTGGAAAATATGCTTATTCTGTGTGACCGTACAGTTAGAAAGCATCGTTTGTTTTTTTATTTGCACTCACAGTTTAACAAGTATTTAAAAAATGCAATACAAAATTAGATGTGCAGAATAAATGAAACAATATATTAACTTCTGAAGCTGCATTTTAATGTTAATCCCAGCATGACATTGTGTTTAGGGTCACGATGACAGACGGTGATTTAAATTAACTCCAGCTTTTGTGTGATTTTGCCGTCTGGCCTCTGCTCTACTACTCTACTCCACATGAGTAAAAGAATAGAATAGAATAAAGATTTGTGTTGTGTGTGGTGTAGGTGTAGGTGTGACGGGTGTTCACACACGTGCACTTTTACCCAGATCTGCATAATAAGTTAAAGCTGCTGAACTCGTGGGTGTGAAATATTCCTGAAATTCTGCTTCATCACTGGATATTGCATTAGAAAAATCATTGAAATGCATCAACAGTTCAATGCAATAACTGCTTTGATATATACTGTGTTACTGAAGGGCTAGCATGTTCATGTAGCATGCATGTGTGAGATGTAGACGGCATTCCATATCACATCAAAGAAATCAAGTCCAAAACATAGTGCAAACTAGGGCTGCACGATATATCGAAAATATCGAAATATCGCGATATGCATATCGCAACGGCGTGCGATATTTGAATCATTTTAATAATAGGCTACTTAAATCAAAACGTTGCAAAAGGTCAACGTTTTAGTTCGACGCATATAGCAGAGAATTGTTTGTCGTTAAAATGAGTTAAGTGCAATAAGTTGCAGAAAACAACTCTTTGCCGTCTCGTCTTGCTGTCTGACTCTCACCTGAAGCGCATGCACAAGCCGCATCTCACACAGCGTCTCTTCGCGCGCACACACACAGAGAGAGACGCGTTTCAGACGGCGTGCGAACACAGAGTTGATTCGTCTTTCGCATCTCCTCCACCTCATGTTTGAACAGACACATACACACAGAATTATGTCAATAGTACCCGTCTCGATGATCATTCTCGTAAATGCAGCCGGTTATGTTTTAAATGAATGTAAACAGCTGAGAAAGAAATCAGACGTGTACAGAGAATTGCTTGATGTTAAAAAGAGTTATTAAGTGCAATAAGTTGCAGAAAACAACTCTTTGCCGTCTCGTCTTGCTGTCTGACTCTCACCTGAAGCGCACGCACAAGCCGCATCTCGCACAGCGTCTCTTCGCGCGCACACACACAGAGAGAGACGCGTTTCAGACGGCGTGCGAACACAGAGTTGATTCGTCTTTCGCATCTCCTCCACCTCATGTTTGAACAGACACATACACACAGAATTATGTCAATAGTACCCGTCTCGATGATCATTCTCGTAAATGCAGCCGGTTATGTTTTAAATGAATGTAAACAGCTGAGAAAGAAATCAGACGTGTATCATTATACTGGATCCGTGCAGTTGGATTTAAAGGTACAGCAGCCTATAAATACGTACTGCTGAATATGTCACTTCTGTATGGACCACTATCGTCAATTAGCATACAGTTTGGATTGGCGGTATGGTTCCGTTCTGGGCCTAGCATGGATGAGAGCAGGGAGAGCAGCGATAACCCCCCCAGGGTAAACAGAACAGAACCAACATAAATGTATTGCAGATATTGTTAAAGTTCAATAATGTTATGTGCACATTTTAGATTTAGTCTGATTCAAAGGAAAATCAGAAGGCTGAATCCTGACTGACAGAGGAGGAGTTGGGGATGGAGGAGGGTAATTAGCTATTGAGCAATGCGAAAACTGCTGATACTACTGAGGGAGCTTATATATGAATGCTTAGATAGGTGTCGTATTCCCATAGGTTGATGGGGATCATCTGAGAGTGACCTGCCAGAACTGACGCTACGCTAGATTAATGTTAATCAAACAACAAAACAGCTATAACAAAGATTAATCTAAATTTAATTCATACAGTGAACACTATGCAGTGTTTTTTTACACTTAATTATACATTTCTGTACCTGAATACTATTTATTTTATATATGCTTGTAAATTGTGTATTTGTTCTTTTTTCCTCTTTTTTCTTTCTTTTTTTTACTGACTGTTCACTTCCCTTTAATCATGTTTGAACTTTCTCAGACTACTGTGTTTGCTGTGGTATATGAAGAAGTACTTAAAGTGTGTGGAAAGCAAAGTTACAATGATATAAAATTAGTGTCATTCATTTTTTTGTCATTCACATTGATGTTAAAATTACATTTTCTGATTTGTGACATTACTTTTTATGTACTGCTAAAACACTGCTGGTCACTTTCAGAAGTTGTAGTGATTCTTTCTTTTCCAAAAAAGAATGTGAAACAAATTGGTTATATAATTTTAATTTTTAAATAT